CAAAAAGAAACAGAAACCATATGACTCAGCAATTATACTTACAGGTATATATCCAAAATATTTAAGAGCACATACTCTAGTTTTTTTATCTTACACTGGTGTTCAATGAAGCATCATTACAATAGTCAAAAGGTAGAATCAATTAAAGTTTGTATCAAGCAACGGTTAAACTAAATGTGGCATGTAGATAATGAACAATGAATAGGCATGTATCAGAAGGCTGTTCTGATACATGACACAACATGATTGAATCTGGAAAATATTATTCTGAGTGAAAGAAGCCAGACACAAAAGGACAGATAATGTATTATTCTACTTATTAAACTATCTAGAATAGGCAGTTTCTTTGAGACACAAAGTAGAAGAGAAATTACCAAGATCTGGGTAAAGGTAGAATCAGGGAGTTAATTCCTAACGGTTGCAGAATTTCCTAGGGGATGATGAAAAAAAATTTAGAATGATATATTGGTAATGTTCACACAACATTGTAACTGTAATTAATGCCACTGAATTGTACAAAGAAGATGATTAACATGTAAAGTTTTATGTAATATCTATTTACTCCTTAAAAAGTTAATAATGTAATATATCATCTGGGCATGGTAGTAAGTACCTGTATTCCCAGTTCTCAGGGTCTTATGTAGGAGGATCACTAGAGCCTGGAAATTTGAGATCAGCCTGGGCAACACAGCGAGATTTGATCTCAAAAAATAAAAAGTAATAATAGCATAGTATATCAATAACCAAAAATAACCACATTTTAAACCTTAAGTGGGTGAATTGCTAAGATATATGAATTTCAATAAAAATGTTTTTAAAAGAATAATTGTATGTTGCTAGAGTTTGTTTTGTTTGTTAAACCTTATTTTATTAGTTTTTGCTAGGCATCCTATTACAGAGTACCACAGAGTGGGTGGCTTAAAAAAACATTTATTGTCTCAGTTCTGAAGGCTAGAAGGTTAGCACAGTGTGCTGGCAGAGTTGGCTTCTGATGGTGTGCTGGCACTCTTTGGCATTCTTGACTCGTAGATATATCACACTGATCTCTGTCTTCATGTTCACATGATGTTTTCCCTATGTACATGCCTTTGTATCCTTTTTATAAGGAGGTATTCATATTGGAGTTGGAACCACCCTAACGAACTCGTTTTAACTTGATTACCTCTGAAAGACACTACTTTTAAATAAGGTCACATTTGAAGTACTCATGATTAGATCTTCATCATAGAAATTTTGGGGGACATAATTCAAACAGTATTAGTTGTATTTTTTCAAAACTCAACAGTCTGCTAAGCATTTTATTTACTAAAAATTGTCGCAGCAGGGCTGGGGTTGTGGCTCAGCGGTAGAGCACTTGCCTAGCACGTGCAAGGCCCTGGGTTCGATCCTCAGCATCATATAAAATTAAATCAGTAAAATAAAAATGATATTGTGACCAACTAAAAAATAAATTTTTTTTAAAAATTGTCAGCATAATTTTAAGGATCAYAAATAGTTCAAGAATAATATTCACATAGTCAGTTCTCAAACATACCTTGGTTTTACTTTTGTAATCACCTAACTGCCATGAACACTTTTATGTACTGTTAATTATTTTCTTAGAAAAGACACTTAGAAATGAAATTAGTAGATTATTTAAAGGTATTTCATAGATACTACAGAGCTTTGTAAATTTGAGAGGCACAAAAGTTGTTACTGCTTTCTTCATTTCTTGGTTTATATGGATTATTAATTATTTTATCTTTAAGTTATTTGCCCAATTAATTTGTAGTTCTAATGTTTTTACTTACAGTTTGAATAAATTCTTTACTGAGTAAAAATTTTACTTTTTCTTGGACTTTTAGAAACTTTACCAGTTTATCATTTGCCCTTGAGTTTTGTTCTGGTTTATTTTTAAAATTATACAAGAATCATTGATTTGTTTGTTTGTTTAAGTATTGGGAATTAAATCTAGGGGCACTTGACCACTGAGCCACATACCCAGCCCTTTTTATATTTTATTTAGAGACAGGGTTTCACTAAGTTGCTGAAGCTGGCTTTGAACTCATAATCCTCCTGCCTTAGCCTTCCCAGCTACTGCGATTATGGGCATGCACCACCATGCCCCAGTAGAATTGTTTTATCTTTTTCTTGATGTATCTTCTATTCCTTCAAAACTTGGCTTGTGCTTTTCTTTGTAGAATTTTCATACATATTTAATTCTGCTTTTTTTTTGGTTGTTTCTGTGGGATTTAAAAAATATTTAAATATTTAATCTGGAGTTTGTTTTGCTGTATGTTATTAAATGAGACCTTTTCTTTCTTATATTGCTAGCTGGTGATTGATTCCAGTTCCATTTATTAATTAATCTATTCATATCTTTCTCCTTCTCCCTTCCCTTCCTTCCCTCCCTCCCTCCCTCCCTTTCTTCCTTCCTTTCTTCCCTTCATCCCTCCCTCCCTCCCCAGGGATTGAAACTCAGGAGTGCTTAGCCACCAAGACTGAGCCACATACCCACCCCATTTTATTTTTTTATTTTGAGACAGGGTCTTGCTAAGTTACTTAGGGCTTCACTAAATCATTGAGACTAGCTTTGAACTTGCAGTCCTCTTGCCTCAGCCTATAGGCCTGCACCACCGCACCCAGCTCATTTTCTTTATCATTGATTAAAGATGTTGTATATGTTGAATTAAACTATTTTGGAGCAGGAGATATATTACAATGATACTTTTTAAAGACTTTCAGTATATTTTAATGTCTGAAAAGAAAACCCCCCTGCACACACTTCTTTTCCTTTTTTTCTAAGACTTTGATACTTTTAGTAGCTTATTCTTACCCATAGACTAGAAACATTTTTTCCATCTCTTCCTATTCTACTCTACTCCTCCCCACATTTAAAAAGAACTTTTTACATAGGAGATAATTTGAAAAATATTGAATGGACATATTGTGATTTTTTTCCTTTCAAATACTTGGGACTTAAATTTTTTTTTTCAAATCTTTCATATCCTTTATAAAGACTTATAGTTTTTCATACATTAGGAAATTTCTCAGTATTATCTTGAATATTCTTCTTGAATATGTATATATTAGTATGTGGTGATTTTTGTTTTTGCTTTTGAAAATTTTTGTTGCTTATTTTAGTACCTAGAAATGTTACTGATTTGTGTTATCTTATATATCCTTCTGTTTTACTGACCTTTCTCAATTTTAATACTTTCTAATTTTCTGGGTAAACGACTAAATGGGAATTTTAGTGATGTCATTTTATAATATTGTTAACTGTTTCACATACTTGTCAGACAGTATTTAAAATCAATGTTATAAAAGAGTAGTAATGGGTGACATCCTTTTTCTTTATATACTTCTGATGTTTCACCATTAATTATAAAACTGCTACTTTTTTTTTTACATTAGAAGATTTAGTGAACTTTTAAAATGCTTTTATTGTGGGACTTAAGAGTAGCATTTGGAATTATTATTATATTTTACCAGTTAGTTTTGGGCTAGGGTAACCACTTAGAAAATAATTTAATCTGCAAAATAATGCATTTATTAGTAAGTTTGCTTTACTAATTTCATTACCTGCAATCTATTCTTTTGTCATAGCTTGTTGTTTTTTTTACTTACAATTTAATTTTGTTTTTCTACATTTTATTTGGCTCTTTTGTAATTTTATCAATAAGTGATACACATCTATAATTTTCATTGGTGGTATCTTTGTTAGATTTTTATTTCAGGGGAATTTTTCCTTGAAACCTTTTGTGCATGTTGTTGTCATCTCAACAGTTAACTGAATAGAAAAGCAAGGTTAAAGTGTTCCTTAGGTGATTAGAAAAATAAAAGAGTCGTATAGGTCAGTAGTTAGTGCTATAAGTTTATTTTTAGAAAGAAGCTTTTTTTTTTTTTTTTTTAACAGAGAAACTTAAAAGCAAGAAAGCAAGAATCTGACTTGCTCTGTTTCTTCTCAATTTAAGCAGTTTTGCATGCCAGGCTGTCTCAGAAACAACTGGACAGTCTGTATCTAGCACATGATAAGTATTTTCTTAATAAATAGTTAAATATGCAGTGGACCGTTTCCTCTGGTCTACATCAGCTCCTTTTTTATTTTTACCTTTTATACCTCACAGAGGAAGGAGACAGGACATTTTTGTTCAGCTTTAAATCAATCACCAGTAATAGCTCTTATCAGTGCCTTCAAAAAAGGAACAGTGCCCCCATCTCTTTATTTACTTGTTGTCTATAAACCTACACACATAGGTTCTTTTAGTTTTAAAAGTTTTTTGAGAAATAGGATAGAACAAAGTATGAGCTTTGGAAGTTAAAAGCTCAGGAAATCTTATGGTCATAATCTGGTCTGTTTTTGCCTACCCTTTGGGTTGTAGCAAAAAGAATCTTTGGACTTTTATATTTCAGCCTAATTTTAATTTTTAAAAATATGGATTCCAACCAAAGTTCTCCTCCTTCTTAATGTCCTACCTGAAACCAACAGGTCTACCATTTTTTTTCTAGCATAAATATGAAGGAGGTGTTTGTTTGGGCCTTTGTCATTTTCCCCTGGATCATGCGGAAGTCCCCTTTCTTTTCTTTTGTACATTCTAGCTTTATTGTCCTCTCCCCCATTTTAATCTTTTTAGAGACACAAATATGATTAAAACTTTCTAACAGTTTCTTATCAGATAAAAGACTTAGACTTTTCCTCACTCATACATCAAAAATAATTCTACATAGAAATTTTAATGTAAAATAAGAAATCTTATAAGTACCAGCAGAAGAATTACAAATACATAATCTTGGTATAAAGACTAAAAAAAACCAAAAACACACAGACCATAAAGGAATGTAAACCAAGGAAAATATTTGCAATATATGACTGACAAATAATACCTTTAAATACAGAAAGAATATTGTATTTGTTTGAGAATATGCAAAAATGATATACATTTATGTGCATAGTCCCTTATAGAAAGGAGTTATTATTTTATTATAGATGAACTAATCTTGTGTTATTACTTCTATAGCAAAAGCAAATTAGTTATTCACCTGGAGTTTGCAGCATAGAACATCAGCAAGAGATAAACAAACTAAAGACTGATTTAGAAAAGAAAAGTATCTTTTATGAAGAAGAATTATCTAAAAGAGAAGGAATACATGCAAATGAGATTAAAAATCTGAAGAAAGAACTGCATGATTCAGAAGGCCAGCAACTTGCTCTCAACAAAGAAATTATGGTTTTAAAAGACAAACTGGAAAAAACCAGGAGAGAAAGGTATGAGTCACATTATTTATTCATTCAATAAAAATGATTTGGGTATTTGTTTTGTGAAAAATGCTGGAGATAGACAGGCAATAAGCATGTCCTAGTTCTCAAGGACACCAAAGTTAAGATTAGTAAATAGAAAATTACAGTACAGTATAGTAGGAAAGCAAATGGAATAAGTTTAGGAGCACACACAGGCACAAGAAGTAACTTTGGTACATTTAGGATTTCTGGACAAAACTAATTCTTAGCTGAGAGCTAATAAGTAAAAAGATGTAGGAAGGGAAGAGTGTTCAAACAGAGGTTGCAGAATGTGCTAAGATCCAAAGAAAAAGTGGAGCCTAATACGTTCAGAAACTGAAAGCTATTTATTATGATAGAAGCATAAATAGAAGGGAGTGGTAAAAAATGAGTCTGCAAGGAAAATAAAGCCAAGATCATGAATAAATGTAATGCATTTGCCATTTAAGGCCATTGAAGGAAAAGCATGATTTTTAATTTCTGTATTTGAATGATCACTTACTAATGGGTAAAGAATGATTTGAAAAGTGCAGACAGGTATAGGAGTTCAGCCATGAGAAATGAGATTATGGATGTTAGGTAGTGATAGAGAAATTGGAGAGAATTGAATGGATTCAGAAGTTCTGAGAAGACAGAACATGTAGGACATAATGATCAGCTATGAGAAGTGAGGGAACAGGAGAAATTTTCTGTAATGCTCAGATATCTGGATTTCAGGCACAGTGGTGCATGCCTGCAATCCTAGTGACTTGAGAGGCTAAGGCAGGAATATCATAAGTTCAAGGATCAGCCTGGGCAACCTAGTGAGACCCTGTCTCAAAATAAAAAATAAAAAGTACTGGGTAATGTATATCAGTGGTAGAATGCTCCTGAGTTTAATCCTCAATGTTGTCAAAATAAGCAAAAAAACAACACTTTTAGATTTTAGGCAACTAGATACATATAATTGTCATTCTTAACTTATACTGGAGGCCCAAGTTTATTCAGTTTGGTGCATTCATTGACTCAACAAAATTATTTTAAGAACCTACTATGTGCAAAGCATTGGTGTATATACTAGGATATAGCAACGAGCAGACAAAGAAAATCCTGATCTTTATGGAGTTTTCCTTTAGTATGGTAAAAGACAAAGAAGTAAAATGTAGAACACATTAAATAATGATAAATGCTAAAAACAAAAAATAAAGTAGGAAATGACTATTAAGCATTAAGAGGACAAATTAAATTACATATGTGTATACATATGCATGCACATATATTTTAATATATATAGAATGGACAGACAGATATATATTATATTTTATATATGTTTATATATGTTTTGTATATATTTACATGCCAGGGGAAAATATACTGAGAGGTGATGTCTGAATTAAGACTAAGGAAATTTAGGTCAATGCTTAAAAGGTGTATGAGAAGATCATTATACACAAAGAAAAAGTCTATTAAAAAATTTGTAGGAAGCTGGTATGGCTTAAGTATAGGCAAGGGCAAAGAAGAGTAGAAATGAGTCAGATAACAAGAGTCGGGGTTTTTTAAGCCTTATAAGTCATATATTGGTGATTTATTGTAATTTACTTCAGGAAACTTGTTTCTCATCAGGATTACTATGACTCCTGGGTTAAAAATAGTCTGAATTAGATAAGAGCAAACTATAAGACTATCTAGAAGGCTGTTGTAATAATCTAGGCAAAAGATGATGACTCAGGCCTAGGCTGGTGGCAAAAGGGATAGTTAGAAATGTTCAAATTTTAATATTCTTTAAAGGTAAAGGGTAATGGTACTGGTTGATGGATTAGATATGGAATGAAAGCTAAAGAAAGAATCAAGGATGATCCTGTGGTTTTGACAAGAGCAAATGGAAGACTATAGTTATCACTCAGGAAGACTACAAGAGAAGCAAGTTTCAGATGAGTGTATTATCAAGAGCTTGTTTAATCAGCTGGCTTGCAGATGCTTGACCTTCAGGTAGATATGTGAAGTAGGCTTTTATATAGAGTACCCTGGATTTCAGGGGTGGAGATATAATTCTGAGAATATCATTCACGTGATATATAAGCCATGGAGACAGAATGAGATCATTTAGATAGAAAGGAGACTCTAGAACTGAACACTGAGGCACTCCAATCTTTAGAAGTTGGGAGATGAGGATGAACTAGCAAAATGGAAGGAGAAAGAATAGTCAGAATGATATGAAGTAAACCAAGCAAATTTAGTATCCTGGAAGCCTGCTGAAGAAACTTGTCAACATGTCAAATAAAATGATGTACAAATCAGGTAAAATAAGGACTACACAGTGGCATTTGAGTTTAGTAATATGAAGGTTATTGGTGACTTTGATAAGAATAATGTCAGTGGAAAAATAGGGGCAAACASCCCACAGTGGGATCAAGAGAGACTTGAAAGAGAGCAATTGGAACAGAGTGTAGATAACAATTGTTAGTACTTGGAGTTGTTACTGCCAAAGTAAGAGGTGAAATAAGAGAGGAGCTGGAGGAGAATTTTCTGTCAAAGAAGTTACCTTGATCCTTGGTTTTTTTTTTGAAGGTAAGAGCAATAAATAGCATATTTTTAATCTAGTGGAAGTTTCCTAATAGTTCATTCAGTGGAGAGAGGGGAGAGAATTACCAGAGCAGTGTAATATTGGAGAGATTGGCCTTACTTAGTCTTACTTTTTTTTTTTTAACCTATGGTAAGAAAAAGTTGATATTTATGCATAAATGAAGATAGGTAGGAACATGTTTATGTGTTGGCCTCCCTTGTTGAGTTAGGAATGTTGAATGTGAGGTGTTTTGAACATACATTTGTGGAGATTTTAAGTCAATAGTTTGAAGCCCGTAAAAGCTTCAGAGGTAGATTCAGAGGACCTCAGTATAAGAAATAACTGTAAGCAAATGTTGTGGTTGATGAGCTACCTCAGGGAGAACTTAAAGAGAGAGGAGACAAGCACCTGAGACAGAATTCCAAGAAGTTCTGGTATTTATGGGAAGAACAGAAGGAAAGGAGTTCACAAAGACAGCTAAAAAGAAGCCCAAGTTGTTGGCTACAAGTCCAGAAAGTATGGTAACATCAAAGGCAAGAGAAGATAGCAGCAGTTCATGAGGGAAAGAAAGAACAACATTGTCAACAATAGATTGGATGTGATAATAGTTAAGTCAATAGTGAGTTTTGAGAGAGCAGTTTTGGTTTTATTTAAGTAATGGAGGCAGAAGCCAGGTATTGGTATGGTGGGGAGCAATTAGGTAATGAGAAAGAATATGGTAAAAATTGACATAAATAAATACCAACCAAATTTGTTGTTTGTGCATAAATCTGAAAGAGACTATTGGTACAGACAATTTTAGTTTGGAGAACACCAACTTGGTGAAGTGTTCTCACAAGATTTACATTTCAAAAGGCTTGTTTATTTCTTTTCATGTGTGTCATCCTTCTTTGATACTTATTATATTTTGTCAAAAATAGGAAGATCTATTATAACTTAAACAAGGACTGTAGCATTTGCATTATTGTAAACTGGCAAAATAGGCTCATTGAAGATCGATTTCAAGGAAATGTAGCCTGTTTATTTCTATTACTTTACCTTTAAATAAAATTCAAAATATGCTTTAAAAATAAGGCTTGTTTACTTGAAGAACATAAATACATCTAATATTTAAAGAAGCATAATGCTTAGCATCACAGTTACACAGATGTCCTTATATTAACTGAGTTCAACTTTTGAAGTAAAAAAATTTTTTTGGTACCAGAGGTTGAACCCGGGGTGCTTAATTGCTGATCCACATTCGCAGCCCTCTTTTATATTTTATTTTGAGACAAGGTCTTGCTAATTTGCTTAGGCCTCATTCAATTGCTGAGGCTGGCTTTGAACTTGCAGTCTGTATTTATTTATTTATTTATTTAKTTAGTTTTAGATAAACACAATACATCCATTTTATTTATTTATTTATATGTGGCACTAAGGATCAAATCCAGTGCCTCACATGTGCTAGGCAAACACTACCACTGAGCTACAACCTTACCTCCTGAACTCGCTATCTTCCTGCCTCAGCCTCTTGAGCTGCTGGGATTACAGTTTAAAGTAAAATTTAGAGTCCACAGTGTATAGTAACAATAATAACACTTTTACACGGGTTAGCAAAAATCAAAGAAAAGCATTAAATCTCTTATACATTTAGGAAACAAGTGTTAATGATCAGAAACAGACTTAGTCAAAGCAAAAGATGATATATGACAGTTCTTCAAATGGCAGTGTGGCCCTTCTGTGTCAGATAAAACGTAGGAAAAAAGAGCACTTATTGGTTAAATTGCTGGTAAACCTACATAAACTTTCATTTTTACACACTTTTACATAACACTTAGACAAGGCTCATACAAGGTTCTCAGATGTATACATATATCCAGTCACTTATTTAGGGGATCAACTATATTGTTATAACCTAAAATAACAGCTTTTTATTTAACCAGTTATGAATCCTTTAAAAGACTTTAAAACAGGTACAAAACCTAATTCCTTTAAGACTTAGTTTCCCTAAGTAATAAATCCTAATAGATACAAGAGAATTATCTTGATAGATAAGAGCAGATCAGTGATTCAGACTTTGCTTCATATCAGTATGTTAAAATTTAAATAACTTTGTGCTAATTATAGCCAATTTAATTACATACACAATTTTTTTGAGATTTACATTCCACAAACTTTCTGCAACTTATTTAGACATTCTAAAACTTGTTTACATCCTTAGTTTTGTCCTCTCTTTCATCTTGGACTTCAGCACAAGAATATTATTTTAGCATACAAAATACTTTCTCATCCAGAAAATTTTTTTAACCTTCTCATTTTTCATACTAAAATATATTTCCACACTTATAGTTTTTTTATATTTCTTTTCTAATTTCAGACCCTTTCTTAAATTCATATTCTGAAAAAGTCTATATGAATGTTATCTGTGTATTTAATTTACTCAACAGATTTCATCTGGCATATATAAAAACTGTTCCTAGGGCTGGGGTTGTGGCTCAGCAGTAGAGTGCTCACCTAGTGCATGTGAGGCCCTGGGTTCGATCCTCAGTACCACATAAAAATAAACATATAAAAAACACAAAGGTATTTAAAAAATAATAGTTACCATTTTTAAAAAAAACTGTGCCTTAATCTTTTTTTACCCCCTGTACTCAGGCATTTAAGAGATTGGAATGCAGGATACTTTTGAGCCTGACCTGTTTCTCTTATAATCATTAAAATGCCATCAACTTTAAGTGAGTTCCCCACTGTCAGTCATACGCAGTCTCCTTTTGCACCTTTTTTCTTACACTAGGCATATTGATATTAAATGGAGTAGTCCCTTTCTATCCTTTTTTTCAGTCTTCCTTGAAGATCCCTTTGCAGAAGCTACCAACAAAACAGATTGACTTTAATTTCTGTGTTTTTCTTTTTGGGATGCAGTTGTTTATGGCTGCCAGTGTCCCCATGCATTTAGTTTGATAGGATACTGTTACAGCAAGAACTGCTCTGTCCCAGTGATGGATATCCCCTGATCAACTGGGGTGTTCCATCAGATAAAAGGGGAGATTTCCTGCACCCAGGAAATAAAGCTAATAGTGCTGGAACCTACCACCATGTCCTCTGTAGCCAGCAGCCTCCACCACTGTGGGAAAAATGGGTTACAAGGTAAGGCAGAGGCCAGATTCTCTTTGCCCATTTTTCTATAGCCTGGACAACTTTCCTAGGATTTTAAAAATTCTCTTCTTAGCCCAGGGCCAGTGTGTCTGACCCACAGGGAGATGATCTTCAGCTGCATGGAGCCAAGCTGAGAAACAATAGGGGGACTACCATCACTGGGTTGAAAGGATTTAAATCTCTTTTTAACCCTTTCTTCTGGTTTCCTACTATTCTTGCACACCAGAGGCAGTGCCTTTTTGCATCGTCAACCTAATTTCTAAATGTTAAAGACTCCTTATCATGCAACTCATCAATGCTCATACATACAGAATCTCTTCTATATACTACTTCTGACAGACCAACTCCGCCTGAAAGATTGTATAATAATCCAGAAAAACCATTCAAAGGCCAGAGAACAGATTGTGTTATTGTAGAACATCTTTCTCTTGGACAGACCTATAGGTGGCCCATTCAGCCAAGATCTTCTTCCCAAGAGACCACTGATAAGATCTAGGTAGCATGGCTCATGTCTTAAAGGGCCAGAAACAGATACAAAAAAAGAAACACAGGAGGCAACCAGAGAGGATTTCCAAAACCATGGCAGATAGGGACCTTTAAAATGGACAGACCTGCACATACAGAATTTCTCCCACTTCCTTTACCTCTGACAGACCAAATTCATCTACAAGATTGAACAAAAAAAGAAACACAAAAGCGGACAACCAGGAAGGATCCCCAAAACCATGGCAAACAAATGGGAACCTTTAAAATATACCAGCCAAGATCTTTTCCAAGAGATTACCTATAGGATCAGTTCAGTATTGCCCATGTCTTAAAATGGGCAGTAACAAGCTGGGTACAGTKGCACAATCCTGTAATCCCAATGACTCAGGAGGCAGAGACAGGAGGATCACAAGTTCAAAGGCAGCCTCAGCAAAAGCAAGGTGCTAAGCAATTCAGTGAGACCTTATCTCTAAATAAAATACAAAATAGGGCTGGAGATATGGCTCAGTGGTTGAGTGCCCCTGAGTTCCATCCCTGGTACCAAAAAAAAAAAAAAGGCAGTAACAGATAAAAACAAAACCACAGACAACCAAAAGGTCCCAAACCCAAGGCCAACAAACAGATGAGAACCTGGAACCGACCAGAAAGGAGTAAAAATCCCTGGATTCTTGAGTCCCATTTAACCATGACTCCTACACCAGCAGCACCACAGTTATCCCCACAAAGAGGGACTAGATGTTCCCATGAAGAGCAACCAGATGTGTGGAGTCAAGGGTCTTGGTGTGCACACCAGGGGATTTACCAGATGGTCAAGGGTGTTGCAGCTTTATTGCACTCGGTTTCCTTCTTCTCAAAATGGACCAAGATGGAGCAACCTGTACTGTTCAGGGAGAAAAGGCAGAGTTCCCCCAAGCAAAAGGAGCTTCAGCAGCTACTGGGACAGTCCCTCAGTTCCTTCCTTGACTCACAGGAATAGCTCCTCTGGTTTAACTGAGGGAAATTTACTTGTCTCTCAACTCTCTGGCAGTTGTCTCTCAACAAGTTCACCAGCGCCTTGCATCCTACCAAGGAAGTGGGCTGCTTGGATAGTCAGGCCTGCCTAAGAAACCTGTAGTGGGGGCTGCTTTCAGGTCCCATCCGGGGTGCCAAATTTGTTACTGAAAGCTCAGTCTTATCCCTGATGCCAGTCCAATAAGGAGGACATGGTTTTGAGAAAAAGAAGTTATATTGTTTTGGTAGCAAAAGAAAAAGCATGGGAAACTCCATCCCCAGAGGCTGTGATACTTGTTACATGAAGTTACTTTGTTTAACTTTAGAGTTCTAAACAATCGTACATAATGCATTTGGACTATAGATAAATAAAAAGCACAGTAACACATTTGCTTAGTGATCAGAAGATTTGTTTTCCCTGAATTTAAAATTTAAATTATAATTGGGGCTCCGGTTATGGCTCAGTGGTAGAGCACTCGCCTCACATGTGCAAGGCTAAGGTTCGATCCTCAGCACCACATAAAAATAAATAAATAAAATAAAGTTTAAAAAAATTAAATTATAATTTATGTTTAGTGATTTAGTGAGATAGGGAATTTAGAAAAAAAATTTTTGGTTGTTCATAGTCCTTTGTTTTACTTATTTATTTTTATGTGGTGCTGAGGATCAACCCAGTGCCTCACACATGCTAGGCAAGTGCTCTRCCACTGAGCCATGACCCCATGACCCCAACAAATAAGTTGTGCTTTTAAACTGACAAGTCTGTTGATTAAAAGCCCACGAGTGTGACTTTTAATTTTGAGGGAAATTGGAATATTCAAGCTGTAAGTTAAGTAAATCAGTGAGTACAACAGCCAATCTGGAATACCATTTTTTTAGTAGAAGAGTTTCTGTTGTGACATTTTACAGTATCATCTGCAGATTCAGAGGACACCTCCCACAATGCTTTTTTAGAATGCCAGTCTTCCCTCTTACTAATATATTTACTAATGCCTTGGTAAAAGGAATGTTCTCAAGTGTATTCAGGGAGTGGCTAAGCAGTTAGCACACAACAGAGCCAATCTTTAACATTCTTATCTCCCTGAGCCAGCAGACTCTTGACTATAAGTCAGAGAGGTTCCACACTTCAAACTCATTGATTGTAGGCCACCATTGGGTTGTAGGCCACCATTGGGTCCAAGCTTCTATGACTCAACCTAGCAGTGTATGTTTCATCTGTTTTCTGATAAATTCTTTAAAACAAATCAGTCCATCAACAAAAACTTTATTCATCTTGCACCGCCTTAAGCCATTTGCTGCTTAATAATGTTTTGGGAGATTATTTTTAAAAAAGAGGTTTGGTCATTGTTGTGCATATCAACATTTGTCCCTCCCTCTTGATGGGATATACTGAGAAGAGTGTAGCATTATTCTTGTGATATTTCAGCCAAGGATGAAATATTTAAGTCTGACAAATTTAGGTTGAGGGGTCACCCAATGAGAGGCCTGCAGTCTAAAAACAGTTGTGAGAGATAGAGAAGATGAGGTCTGTTCTAGACCAAGGGAAAGTGAAGAGATACAGTTGATTCCTGTACTAGATAAGAAAAGGAGACATTGTTGGGATGGTCACCAAACCTTGACTATGGTCTGTGGTTTTGGACAGTAGTGTTCTGGTAAGGGTGAATCTTTTAATTCAGAGGGTTGCTTAGTCCTAATGTTAGAGAGTGCCCTTGATCTTGAGATATTTAGATATTTAGAGGTAAGAAAGTAATATTTGCAGCTGCCTCTCAGTGGTTCACAACAATAATGAAATCATTAAACACACAGAGTAATGGAACAAATAAAGTAAAATGTTAACAGTTGGAGAACCTGGGTGAAGAGGATGCAAGAATTCTTTGCACTGTATTTATACCTTTTCTACAAGGCTGAAATTATTTCAAAGTCAATTTTTTAAAATATCTGAGTTCATATATAAGTTTATTTCAAAATATTATCAAGGACTGTAAAATACAATTTTTAGTAAAACTAGGAAGTGACTAGACCAATCTTAAGGAAGGGCCCATGACTTTGTATTTTCTAAGGATATTTTGATACAAATACATACAAAAAAGGTATCTAATTTGAACTCAGACTAATTTGTCTTTGAATTAATTTTAATGAATACGAAGCAGAAGATAAGTATTACTTCCATTTTGACATTTTATTTCATTAGTCTTGATAGGATCTTCCCTAAATATATAATATATATTAGCCATCCCACCCTAGATAGTGTGTATGGCATTTTCATTTTATTTTCTTTATAGAACTTATCTGAAATTAGTTCATGTACTCACTTTTCATTGCTGTGAGAGTAGAACCTATCTGAAGGGCTCACTATTTCTTGGCACCTACTAGACATTCTATAAATATTGGTTACATGATTCAATAAACCAATCAGCAACTATTGGAATAAATAAATAAATTCTTGGAAAGTATTTTATTAGGCCTTTCATTGCATGTGAACATGTTGTGTATGTATGTAAATAATGTTCCTATAGTTCAGTCTGAATTTATGTATGTTATATAATTTTTGCGAAACTAATTTGTTTTCTGCTGACCTTTGACTCTATTTCTTTTTTTCTTTAATATTTTCAATTGGGTTAGTCAAAGTGAGAGAGAAGAATTTGAAAATGAGTTTAAACAACAGTATGAACGAGAAAAAGTGTTACTAACTGAAGAAAATAAAAAGTTGACAAGTGAACTTGATAAGGTGAGTGAGTCAGTCTCATTCGAGCATATGTTAGATGTTAAACACTGTGACAGAAATTGTGGGTATAATTTGGTTTGGTGTACATTTTTAGTTTAATAGTCTTCTTTACAAGCTGAATGCTTATACAGTTCAGGTAATTTTCTCTTGTACCCATTTGTGACAGGAATATTCTGAAAGAACATTTTGCTTTTGTTTGTTTCATCTTATTCTTTGTCCCCTTTATTTTTGATCCTATTCTTTATTTTACTTTCTATCTATTCTCTTTTTAGCTCTCTTATTTTCTTCACTCCCCTGTCATGGCTTGTCATGTTCAGGCTAAATGAAAATTGGCCCTTTGTGAAAGCAGGGACAGTTAGGCAAAATCTCAAGAATTCTAATAGCTATGATTTCATATTTATATTGGAAAACTGATAATAGCTAGAAATAATACCAGGAGTTAGTGAAAATCCAAAGAAACTGAATCTGCCTAATCTTTGTCTCGAATAAAGATAATCAGATTTATTAGACTTTAGAATTAGCCATATTTATAAACAAAATATCATATACTTAAAGGATTTTTTTTTCATTTATTATTTCAGATTTTTATATCGCTGCCATTCTGCAGCTCATGTCCCAATTCCTAATGAACAGTTGTAAAAAATCCTAATATTAATTACAAGTTTTAATATTAACTTACATGAAATAAGAAGGGATGGTAAATTGGGTTTTATAATGATTTCTGGATTTTTATATGGGGCTGGAGTTGTAGCTCAGTAGAGCATTTGCCTAGCACGTGTGAGACTAGGTTCAATCCTCAGCACTACATAGAAATAAATAAATACAACAAAGGTATTGTGTCCATTTAAAAAAAAAAGTTCTGCTATGAGTTATTCTAATAACAGTTTGAAAGACCATGACTAAAGAGAGAATTGCATTTTCTCTGAATTTTTATTTTTATATAACTCTATTTCTATCACTACTTTCCTCATGATTATTTAACATTTTAAAATGCTAAGGAAACATTTAATGTCTTTAGAAATTGGATTTTGCTTGTTTGATTGGAAATTCCTTGAGAAAGAATATTGTTAGTTCATCTTGTAAAATCCTATAAACCTAAGATACAAAATAACTATGAAAAGTAGCTGAAGAATAAGTAGCATAAATGGATTTTTAAAGCATGAATTATGTCCGAACTTTATTTTATATGCATCATAGTTATTTTCATCAAAATAAGACTAACAATATTTGAACTTTATCCAAATAGATTACATAATTGTTATTTCATGTATTTGACAAATATAACTACAAAATTTAATGTCATTTCTGCACGACAGAATTTTAAGACTTTCTTAAGCAATACCTTGAGATACAGATTATATACAATCAAACCATTAAATTGCATTTACTTAATTGGTTTCATGATTAAGTTTAACAAATGTTGAATAACTGGAAATTTGAATAATTGATACCAACGTGATGGTATTATGATACTTGTTAAATTTAAGTATGATAATATTATAATTATATTTAAAAAGATATAGCCTTATTTTCAGATATGAGTAAATATACAATTTATCTTACATATATCTTATATGTGTATATATATCTTATTTTCAGATCTATGTGTGGGTGAATATACAATTTCTGTTATTTCTTTTAGAATAATACAAGAAAAAGGGGAATAGAATAGGGGCGTAAATGAAACAAGATTGATGGTGGGCTCATGGGCATTCACTTGTATTGTCCCATTTTGAATGTGCTTGAAATTCTTTATGACTTGATTTAAAAAAAAAAAAAAAAGATGACAAAGACATTTGCAAATTGAGAGACACAAAGAAACAAAGAGATAATGATGATAACATTCTTCTGACAAATGTGAATGTTCACAGAACCAGAACTGATTTAGTGTAGGGTATAAGGACAAGCAAAGGAAGCATGAGAATTCAGAGTACTTGTTATTAGCAAATTCAGTGACCAGAAGATGTGTAATAATTAAAAGACAAGAATTTTTGAGTGGAAGATTGTGAATTATCAGATGTAATAATAGGTGTCTGAGCACCTTGAAGTCTTGGTCCTAAAAGTTATGCATACTTTAAAAACTGCCTTTCAGCTTACTACTTTGTATGAGAATTTAAGTATGCGCAACCAACAGTTAGAAGAAGAGGTGAAAGATATAGCAGACAAGAAAGAATCAGTTGCACATTGGGAAGCCCAAATCACGGAAATAATTCAGTGGTGAGTTCTCTTTTTAATGTGTGTTTTCAATATGTTTTGTGTTTCTGCTGTTTTCTGTTGTTTCCCTGTTCCCCAACTCCAGCAAATGCTCCATACCAACTTTACATGGCTTTATTGAAATCTGATATATATTTTTTAAGAATAGAAAGTGTTAATCCCTCTAAAGACAGAGTTGGCCCTTAGAATCTTATCCACAAGCTCTATAGCACAGGCTTCTAAGATCAAAACAGCTATATACAAGTTATTTAAGAAATAGCCTGAGAAAAATTTAGAAACTGGTGGTTCTGTGCTCATTAGTATAACATATTAATTCATACATGGCATTTTTAAAACTTTTTGTGGTTACAGTTTAATCAACAGTTCCCTAATATCTCAGGACTCCTTTTWAAATTATTATTAAGTTATAGTAACCTTTGTATTAATTCATTAAATTATCATTATTATGCTTGTCAAAATTTACATATTTTATATATATGGATAAAGTGGAATCCAACGAGGACTTTATTTCCTAATAAAAATAGGTGCCCTAATTTTTTAGCCGTTATTGGAATATGATAGATGTTTGCTTTCTGTCAAAACAAATAGTTTCTTTATGTATCTATAAAACAATTACTTGGAAATTTTAATTTTCTTTGCTTTTATTTTGGTTCAAGCATTTTTTCCATTTTCCTTACTTTTTCAGATTAGTAGCCTTCTTAAATAAAATAAAAAGTGAATGAACACTTTTTTAATTTTTATTTTTAATAAAGTATTTTTTTAATAACTTTGCTCAATGACTGAGTATTTGGTTTTGCTTAATTATAGAACTCTTCAGCTAACAATTATCATTTAGGCATGAAGCTAAAAATTCATGTATATTTTCATTTAGTTATCACAACAATTCCGTATGATAGGTATTATTATCATCCCTATTTTGTAGGTAGATAACAAAGTTAGAGGGCATTAGTGACGTGTCCAAACTTGCACAACTGGTAAGAGCAGAGCCAGGATTTGAAACCAGGTCTAACTCAAAATCTAGGTTACTAATTAGTCTGTGGTACATGTCCTCTCTCCCAAGTTCTTTAGAACTGTATGTTGAAAGACAGGAGAATTAATCAGGCAGAACTTTTCTATCCTTGTATTTGAATACACAACCCGGGTAATTCCACATGGTGTACAACCACAAATATAGGATCCTAATTAGAATAAGTTATATTCCATGTATGTATGTCAAAATACATTCTACTGTCATGTATAACTAAAAAGAATAAAAATAAGTAATTTTTTTTTAAAAAGAACTCTTATATATCTTCTTCTGTCTTTCCGTTGTATCCAGTGTCATAATATTTGTTTTATCCTTTTAATTGGTACATTTTAATTGTAAACAGTAGTGAGATTCATTTTACCTTATTCATATATGCACTTAACTTGATCAATCTCATTCCCAAGTACTTTCCCTATCCCTCTCCCCCTTTCTCACCCTGATCTGTTTGCTCTACTTATCTCCCTTCTGTGGTTATTGTTGTTGTTAACCATTTGTTTAATTGTTGTATTATAGTGTATATATATAAGTGGTATATTCACACATGGACATAGCATAATTTTGAAGATTTCATTTCCCAGTTCTTCCCCTTGCTCTCCCTCTCAGTCCCCTTCCTCTATTCTATTGATCTCTGTGTTAGGCAGCTTTTTGTTGTCGTGATCAAAATGCCTGACAAGAACAACTTAGAGGAGGATAAATATATTTTGGCTCACAGTTTCAAAAGTTCAGTTGCTAGTCAGCCAATTCCATCAGTGTGGGCCTGAGATAAGGCAGAAGAGCATAGTGGAAGAAAACTGCTAAGCCCGTGGCAGCCAGGAAGGGGGGGTGGGGGAGGGGGGGAGGGAGAGAGAGAGAGAGAGAATGAATGAGAATGAATGAATGAGAATGAATATGAACAAGGAGGAGCCAGGGACAAAATATAATCCATAAGGACATGCTCCCAGTGACCTACTTCCTCCAGCCATCTACTTAYTCCAGCCATGCCCTTCCTGCCTACAGGTTACCTCTAGTAATACATTCAAATTGTTAATCCATCAAATGTATTCATCCACTGGTCATGCTATAAGTTCTCATAATATAATCATTTCATCTCTGAACATTCCTGCATTGCTTAACACTTGAGCTTAGAGGAGAAAACCTCATATCCAAACCAAACAGTCTCCCTTGTATATTTTCATGAGATTCAACCCCACATACATACACATTTAATTCCTTTTTTTTCCCTGTCTAGCTTCCTCATATGAAAGAAAACATTTGACCTTTGGCTTATTTTACTTACCATGATGTTCTCCAATTCTATCCATTTACCTACAGATGATATAATTTCATTCATCTTTATTACCATGATGTTCTCCAATTCTATCCATTTACCTACAGATGATATAATTTCATTCATCTTTATGAATGAGTAAAACTCCATTGTATATATATACCACATTTTCTTTATCCATTTGTCTATTGACAGGGACCAGGTTGTTCCATAACTTAGCTGTTGTAGATTGCAGTCATATAAACATTGGTATGCATGAATCACTCTAGTATGCTGATTTTAGACTTTTTGGATTAATACCAAGGAGTGAGATAGTTTGAATACATGGTGATACTATATTTGAGGAATCTCCATATTGTTTTTCAAAGCAGTCTACTACTTTTCAGTCCTACCAACAGTGTATAAGTGTACATTTTTCCACACATTCTCACCAGCAATTATTATTTGTATTCTCAGTGTTTTAGTGTAGTTTTATGTTAGTCAGCTTTTTGTCATTGTAACCAAAATACCGGAGAACAACAACCTGGAGGAAAAGTTTATTTGGGGTATATAGTTTTCGAGTTTCAGTCCATGGCTGGCTAATTCTATTGTTGTGGCTCTGAAGTGAAGCAGAACATCATGGCAGAAAGTCCTGGTGGAGGAGAGCTGCTCAGCCCTTGGCAAATGGCAAATAGAGAGCAAGGAGCCAGGAACAAAATACAGTTCCCAGTACACCTGCAGAGATCTACTTTTTCCAGCCATGCCCCACCTACCTATAAATAGGTGACAGCTTACAGAATCTAATCATTTCACTAACATGAACTCTTTTGGGGGACACCTCATATCCAAACCATAGCAATTTTGATTTGCTATGTTTTTCTTTTAATGCTTGTTTGTTATTTGCATTTCTTCTTTCGAGAAATTTCTTTTTAGATCATTTGCCCATTTGTTGATTGGGTTATTATTTTTTTTATGTGTGTGTTATGCTTTTTGAGTTCTTTTATATTCTGGATGTTAATCTCCTGTCAGAAGAGTAGCTGGCAACAAGATTTTCTCCCATTATATAGGCTCCCTCCTCACTTTTTTTCTTTTCTTTTTAAAAATACATGACAGTATTTTTAGATATACATGACAGTAGAGTATATTTTGGCATATAAATTCATGGACTATAACTTAGTGTAATTAGGATCCTCCTCACACTCTTATTTCCTTTACTGTATACAAGCTTTTTAATTTAATGCTATCCACTTATTGATTTTTGGTTTTATTTCTTGAGCTTTTGGAGTCTTTTAAGGAAGTTGGTGCCTATGTCAATATGGTAGAGTGCTGATCCTGTGTGTCTTCTAGCAAGTGTAGTATTCTGGTCTACTTCCTAGGTCTTTGATCCACTTTGAGTTGATTTTTGTGTAGGGTGAAAGACAGGGATCCTGGTTCATTTATCTACATCTGGATATCTAGTTTTCCCATTACTATTTGTTTAGAAAGGCTGTTTTTCATCCAGTGTATATTTTTGGAAACTTTGTCAAGGATCAGATGCCTGTATATGTGTGCATTTGTCTCTGTATCTTCTATTCCATTGATCTTCATATCTGTTTTTATACCACGACCATACTGTTTTTTCATTACTGTAGCTCTACAGTATAATTTGAGATGTTGCTCCCATGCTTCCAGCTTTGCTGTCATTGCTCAGGATTGCTTTGGCTATTCTGGGTCTTTTATTCTTCTCTGTGAAGTTTAGGGCTGTTTTTCTTTCTAGTTTTTTGAAAAATGTCATTTTTTTTTGACAGGGATAACATTGAATCTGTAGATGATTTTCACTAATGTGACTCTTTGACAACATTAATTTGGCCTACCAAGAACATGGGCATTCTTTTTATCTTCTAAGGTCTTCTTAAATTTCTTTCTTCAGTGTTGTTTAATTTTCATTTTATAGGTTTTTCACCTCTGTAGATTTATCCCCACGTTTTTATTTATTCATTTTTTAGTTTATTGTGAATGGAATTATTTTCCTGATTTCTCTCTCAGCAGATTCATTATTTGAGTATATGGAAAGCTACTGATTTATGTATGTTGATCTTATATCCTACTACTTTGCTGAATTTGTTTGTGAATTCTAGAAGTCTTCTGGTAGTTTTTTAGATCTTCTATATATAGGATCCTGTTATCAGCAAACAGAGGTAATTCGATTTCTTCTTTTTCCTATTTTTATCCCTTCAATTTCCTTCTCTTGCCTGTTAGCTTTGACTAGCATTTCTATAACTATATTGTATAGGAGTATGTGAGAGTGAATATCCTTTTCTTATTCTTGATATTAGAGGAAATTCTTTTAGGTTTTCTTCAGTTAGTATGTTGTTGTCTTTGGTTTTGTCATATAGCCTTTATGATATTAAGTTCCTTCTAAACCTAGTTTCTTCATTGTTTTTAGCATGAATGGGTTCTGGATTTTGTCAAAGACTTTTTCTTGCGTTTATTGAGATGATCATTTCATTTTTTCTCTTGATTCTCTTTATGTAATGAATTATATTTGTTTAATTGCATATGTTGAACCAACCTTGCCAATTTGGGATGAATCCAACACCTGATCAGTGAGCACAATCTTCTTAATATCTTTTTGAATGCTAATTGCTAATATTTTCTTAAGAATTTTTGCATCTGTGTTCATCAGAGATATTGGTCTGTAGTTTTCTTTCCTTGATGTATCTTTATCTGGTCTTGTAATCAGGGCATACT